ATTTCTGAAATCATGGCTACAAAGTTTTTAGAAGCAGCACCATTTGAAGAAGTAATTTTCTTCTTCAATAATCAACATTCCCTTTTAAAATGTCCTGATTTTCTACAATGGAAGCATGTGCTTTTGTTCTTTCTTTTGAATTTCGTACCATTAGCAATTTGTTTGAACTTCTTTTTAGCAGGTTTAGTGGTCTATCTTTCCTCCACAACATGTACTTTGGCTTCACCAGAAACAGCAACTTGTTCTTGTTTCTTGTATTCCTCTTCAATTCGAAGATGATTTGTCAAAGCCTCAAGAGTTATTTCTTCCTTTTTGTGTTTCAGACTTCTTTTAAAGTCTTTCCATGATGGAGAAAGTTTGTCTATAATGGAGGATACAACTATAGTTTCATCTATTTTCATTATATTGTTTAAACTGATTAAGCATTTTTTCAATTTTCCGTAATTGTTCTATAACAAAACGTCCATCTACCATTTGAAAATTAATAAAGCGACTAACAAAAAATTTCTTACTTGTTGCATCTTCTGTCATATACTTGGCTTCCAGTTTCTCCCATAATTCTTTTGTAGTAGCCTCGTTCAAGTATGTGTCAAATAAGCCATCAGCCAAACCATTCAAAATGTGACCTTTGCACATAAAATCGGCATTGTCCCATTTTTGCCTCTCTCTCGTTGCAGCAACAAACTCATTTTCTCCTTCTTCTGGTCTAGGTGTCGTCAAAATATAGACAACTTTCAAGATTGATAATAGGAAATGCATCTTCTTCAACCATCTTAGAAAGTTACCGCCATCAAACGGATCTAATTTTATAAAGTCAGAAGCCAATTCTCTTAGTGTTCCGCTTGCAGCAGCCATTGTTAGAACTGGATTAAAACCTTAAGATTGTTAGAACACCAAACGAAAAAACTTAAAACTTGGCTTCAAGGCATGTATCAATGCCACTATCCTTAAGGTTTTATTCGCCCCCACTTGTAGTGTGCAAAAGAGTTACCGGCATATAAACCTCGAAGATACAATGTAGTTCAGTGATTGATGACGTTTTACACTGACAAAATCAATCCACTGAGCACTCACCAGAGTATAACAAGATTATCAAACTTCTATAATATTTTTTCTGCAGGAAAATAGTATAGAAGAAAACTTGAAAGATGTTGGAGGAAGAAGAAGAGAGATATTACTGTTTTTTTTTCTTGATGTACATTAGATAAGGATGATCCTCTTTTATAGGCATAAATGCATGTTCTCAATAGATATTATTTATGTCTATTTCAAAAAGTTACTCTTGTTGGTTTTTTTCAATAGACGTGGCTCTTTTCTTATTTTTGTTTTATTTTATTTTCAACAGAGATAACTCTTGTTTTGGTTTTAATTTCCAACAGTTACAATTTTCTTTCTATTTCGATATAAAATCATATTTTTTATTTGAAAATGTCTAACACTATATCCTATTCGAATCTTACCATTTTCAATCCCATCCTTCACGCTTTTCACTAGTATTTTGTTTATTCAAATTTCTACGGTTTAGTCAATTTTTGAATTCATTTAGTGATTACAATGAAGAAAACGAACAGAGGAATGAACAATACTCCCAGGAAGGAACTCCACTTTTGTTTTTCCCTTTGTCTTGTAGTAAAAGTCCATGCTCTGTCCGAAGGTGTCCTTTTATTTATAAAGCAAGCAAGCAAGCCAACCAAAGTACCAAAACTAGGCCCACTTCTCCTTTGTTTCCGTCTTAGTCTTTCACTTGAAAACCAATCCTCCTCTTTTTGTGTTAAACCGATCTGCAACTGCAACTGCAAGCAAAACCATTTTTCATTATCGTTTCCCATTCGGGTTGATCCGGGAAGCGAGAGAATAATACAAGGCTTTTCGAGTGAAAGGTTAGAAGCTCAGAATCAAAAAAGAAAACACGAAAACAGACGCTTAGTATTTGCTGTATGTCAGTAGAATACTATTGTGACGAATACTGCGGTGGATACGGTGAGGTTGCTAACCCTTTGCAATGGCCTCAACTCAGGAAAAGGCGACGCCTTGTTGCATTCCCAAAACCAACGACGACGTCAGCAAGAAGACCTCTTCTTCTTCTTCCTCCTCTACCGAGGTTTTGCAGAATTGGAGTCTTGCAGTCGGCTCTGGGCCTGTCCCGTCTGAGGATCCCATCCCAAAGACAGCCTCCATGGCAACCTTGATCCGCCCTGTTGAGCCCATCTCGGATCCATCCGCTGCTAAGATCGCTACCACCAAAGGTTTAAACTTTAAACACTGTTCAAAATAGTTGACTTATCTTTTTCTTCAGTGTAGTTGTATAATCCTACTTTTTTTCTTTGTTATGAATGCAATATTGCAAAATATTTGCCTGGTCTTTTTCCTCCTGGTTGTTTTGAGTTTGCAAGAAATTGGCAAGCTCTATTTACGAAAGCTATGTAGTTGATAAGATGAAGTCAAAGAAGGGAAGGTCTTTGTCTTTTTGGGTCCCAAGTAAGAATTTTGCATTTTTTTTCTTTAACTTCACAACATTTTCTTTGCTAGTAAACAAGATGTTTTTGATTTTCCTTCCTCTTCCTATATGCTTGTTTTTTAAATAAATAAATAAATATATGTATATATATAAATCGTTGTTATATTATTTCTTTGATGTCATGCATCTGAAGACGCTTGTGACTTGGTTTCATTTTATTTCTTCAAATTGATCGTCGAAGGAAACTATTATATAATACCCAAATTCCATAATTTACTACTAGTCTGCTATTGAGTTCTGAACTTAGCAGTTCTCTGTCAATCCTATCGGCTGGCATTATTTGGGTTATGTGTTTCCTGTAAAAATTGGTGATTTTGTTGCATAGGAATTTCAATCATGCCAAGGGCTCAAACCAGCCATCCTTTGGATCCATTGTCTGCTGCTGAAATCTCAGTGGCAGTGGCAACTGTGAGGGCAGCTGGCTCAACCCCTGAGGTAAAAAATTTTAAGCTATGTTTGACCTGAATTGTAGCTTCAATCTTTTATGCTATCATTTTAGTGAGAAATTCATTTAAGCTCTTTTTTCTATGGAAGAAATGAAATATTTGTTTTCTTTCTTTAGGTGAGAGATAGCATGCGCTTTATTGAAGTGGTTTTGGTAGAACCAGATAAGCATGTTGTTGCATTGGCAGATGCATATTTCTTCCCTCCTTTCCAGCCTTCATTACTTCCCAGGACAAGGGGTGGACCTCTCATTCCTAGTAAACTTCCTCCACGACAAGCAAGACTTGTTGTGTACAACAAAAGGTCCAATGAGACAAGTATATGGACTGTTGAGTTGTCAGAAGTTCATGCTGCAACTCGAGGAGGCCACCACAGGGGCAAAGTCATTTCATCTAAAGTTGTTCCAAATGTCCAACCTCCCATGGTAAATATGTGTTTTCTCTTTTAAGAATCTAAAAGTGATGCCATAGGTGCTGATTAATTGTGACTATAATTTAGACTGTGTCTCAAAGTTCTGTGTTGAAAGAACTTCCTTTGATTCAATTGGATTTTGTATAGCGGTTCTCATCAGGATCTATATGAAACCCCTTCTTTAGAATGCTAGTATTGTGTTCTTTTGACAAGGTCATGACTATCAACAGAAAGCCAGCAGGTGCAGACTACAGATGCACTCAGCAAAATTGGAATAGGTCCACCGTCCACAAAATGCTATCAGAACACTTTCTATAAGTGACCTAGTCTTGATATATGTTTGTTTAGTTATTTATATGGATTGGATACTGTTTGTTTAATTACCTGTTAATCTGTGTTGTGTTTGTCCCCTATTATGGTTTTTGCACCCAACATGCCTATAAATCTATAACTGCTATGTTTCGTCATCAACGTCCTTCTCAAATTATAGGATGCTATGGAATATGCTGAATGTGAAGCTGTTGTTAAGGACTTCCCTCCATTTCAAGAGGCAATGAAGAAGAGGGGCATTGAGGATATGGAACTTGTGATGGTTGATCCCTGGTCAGTGATCATATTTAGATTTCTTTCGCATGGATGTTCTATAAAATCATGTCCAAGTTTCTTACCCTTAAAACATGACAGTGCCTTGCCTTTTTCTTATAGGTGTGTGGGTTATCATAGCAATGCTGATGCTCCTAGCCGAAGACTTGCTAAACCACTTATCTTCTGCAGAACTGAGAGTGACTGCCCCATGGAAAATGGTTATGCTCGTCCAGTTGAGGGAATCCATGTCCTTGTTGACATGCAAAATATGGTGGTAATTGAATTTGAAGACCGTAAACTTGTTCCCCTTCCACCAGCTGATCCTTTAAGAAATTATACGGCTGGTGAAACACGGGGAGGTGTTGATCGGAGTGATGTGAAACCACTACAAATCAGTCAGCCTGAAGGTCCCAGTTTTCGTGTTAATGGGAAATTTATTGAATGGCAGAAGGTGCTTGCTTGTGAAACTATATTTATAAGTTTTATTAGTTCAACATGCTGCGGTAACATCAATTTGATTTTAATTTCTGGTTTCAGTGGAATTTCCGGATTGGTTTCACTCCTAGGGAGGGTCTGGTAATCTATTCTGTTGCTTATGTTGATGGTAATCGTGGTCGGAGACCTGTAGCCCATAGATTAAGTTTTGTTGAAATGGTGGTTCCTTATGGAGATCCAAATGATCCGCATTATAGGAAGAATGCATTTGACGCAGGAGAAGATGGGCTGGGTAAAAATGCACATTCTCTTAAAAAGGTTTGGCACTTCTTTTGTGGTTTTTGTTTTTATGTTAAAGTTTCATTTAGATCTTCCATTTCATTAATTTAAGTTGAAGTTCCCCTGATTTGCCTTAACTTATCTGTTGTAGGGTTGTGATTGTTTGGGATATATCAAGTACTTTGATGCTCATTTTACAAATTTCACTGGAGGTGTTGAAACAATTGAGAATTGTGTTTGTTTGCATGAAGAGGATCATGGGATCTTATGGAAGCATCAAGATTGGAGAACAGGTTTAGCGGAAGTTCGACGGTCAAGAAGGCTAACAGTGTCTTTTGTATGTACTGTGGCTAACTATGAGTATGGGTTTTTCTGGCATTTTTATCAGGCAAGTTGGTGTCTGCCGGGACTTTTTTTTGCTTTGCATGAATTGGCTATTATAAATGTCTTTGTTCTGATAAACTAATATCTCTTCTTAACTATTGGTGAGGCCTGCCCCTGGCTAATAAGGCAGGCTTCCTGAGTAGTAACAGTAGGAATATTTCAGTCCTTTCTTTTATTGGGTTGTCCTCGGAATGAGGGATGCTTGTAAATAGTCATATATATTTTTTTGTTCTATCTAATGGTCCGATGCCATCTTCTTCAGCTTTGCAATGGTAAATCTCCCCTCACTTTGAAAGTTGTGTTATTTAAAATTTTGATGATACATCTTGTTTTAGGATGGTAAAATTGAAGCTGAGGTTAAACTCACTGGGATTCTCAGCTTAGGAGCATTGCAGCCTGGTGAAACACGAAAATATGGCACCACTATTGCTCCTGGACTATATGCCCCTGTTCATCAACACTTTTTTGTGGCTCGCATGGACATGGCAGTTGATTGTAAACCTGGTGAAGCATTTAATCAAGTAAGTTGTGTTATTATTCCTTTATTATGCTTTGGCTCCTTTATTTCACTAACGAATGCTGTCTGTAATGCATCCTATGATAGTGTTATATTTGTCATAACATGTTCACGACAGTTGTAACTTAAATTTAAACTCGCACAAAAGTTAACAATGATCATCACAGTCTTTTCATTGTTGTTTGCTCCGTTAGCAAGAAAGTTAGGGTTTATTCAATGGAAGTTCATGGAATACTAAGAAATGTATACATTCTTACAGGTTGTTGAGGTGAATCTTAAAGTTGAAGAACCAGGGAAGGATAATGTTCATAATAATGCATTTTATGCTGAAGAGGAACTTCTCAGATCTGAACTGCAAGCAATGCGTGATTGTAATCCATTGAGTGCACGTCACTGGATTGTAAGTAATTTTTCCTACACTTCCTTGTCCAAATTGCAAGGATATGCGTTTTGAGTGGTATCTAGGGTTTTCAGAATGTTGTGTGCAAGGTGAGGTGTTATAATTGTTTGAGAGTTGCTTTACCATGAGTCCAGTGAGTTTGACTATTTTTTACTCTGAATCTTATCACCCATCAATTATCCAATAGAAATTTGTAACTTTCCAACTAAGCAGATCTTGTGAAAGAAATAGTTCTGACTTCTACACTTATGTAGAATGAGCAGAGCTTTCATATTGTCATTGCATTTAAAATAGTAGCTAGCATTTGGTAGTTGGGATTATATACAAGTTTCCAATAATCTAGATTGTGCGACCTTTGATGTTGCCATCAAGTTTAAAATGGGTACTAGCTTTTAGTTATTGAATTGTAACCATCTTATTGGTATTCCTTTTGATTGGGGCTTAGTATATAGGTTCCTTATGTTCCTTATTGTCTCTAAGATCTGATCAGTCAATGACTCTTACCAGTTATATGTTGGAGTCTTAAGTTTTTATGCCTTTGTTCTTGCATAAATTATGTATAAGAGCTCTCTTAGGCAGCTGGGTGCATGGATGCTAGCACATATCTATCCTCACTTTTGTTAATGATATGTTAAAAGAGTTCTTGTAATTTTGTATTATCTTATTTTGGTAGTGTAACAATTTGTGATTTTTGGCAATCTATTTGTCTATTTGGAACATGACTCCTCTTCTATACAGTTCAACAAATTCATCCCTCAACTGTACTTGCTATTTTCATAGGTTAGAAACACAAGAAATGTCAACAGGACTGGGCAGCTAACAGGTTTCAAACTAGTACCTGGTTCAAATTGTCTGCCACTGGCTGGCTCTGAGGCAAAATTTCTAAGACGTGCTGCTTTCTTGAAACATAACCTTTGGGTCACACCCTATGCACGTGAAGAAATGTATCCTGGAGGAGAGTTTCCCAATCAAAATCCACGTGTTGGGGAGGGGTTAGCTACATGGGTTAAGAAGGATCGGTCTTTGGAAGAAGCTGATATAGTTTTGTGGTTAGTATCTGACATATCTTTCTCTAAGGACTAAAGTGATCATTTATGTTTGAATTTAATAGAAAAATCACTTCAAATTACTTCATTTGCAGTCACCGGCATCTTGGTGTGTATCATGTATGTTTGCCTTTGGTATTATAATTTATCAAGTTTATCATCTAATATTAACCTATTTTTATTCAGAGAACAGGGTAGTTTAGAGCGAATCAATCTATTATGATATCTAATTATATTGGAAATTATGTCTAGGTATGTCTTTGGAGTGACACACATTCCTCGGTTGGAAGACTGGCCTGTCATGCCAGTGGAACGCATTGGTTTTATGCTCATGGTATGCACTCATCCTAATAGCATACATTCTGACAGACTTGACTGAATCTTCATAAAAGAATATATTCACATTTTTTTCCTGATAATTCTTAATTTTTACTCATGTTATTTTAATTAAGCGTTACACCATGTCATATGAGTTTAATGATTTTGTTTTATGGCCGATGTTTTTACTAGTTATTATTTACTGATATGAGACATATCATATGAGTTCACTCTCTGAGTTACCATGTATGTAGTTTGAAAATGCGTAGTCACCTTTGAGAATCATTTGTTATCTTGATAGGTTTGCGCTTTAAACATTATGTGTAAAATGAATAGCCTGCTCATGATAAGTGTTTGTGATTTTTTCGAGTTCCATCAAAAGCTTCTTAGCAGAGTGTAAGACGGGATGACGCATTTGAGCCCAATGCACATTTCTTTGACTGCCTTAGTATAGGATGGGAGTGATGGATTATCGTGTCCCACCCTTGCAATAGACTGCAAGAATGCATTTGAGCTTGCATAGTTGCTATTTGTGTTTGGAAATGTTATGCAGGAAAAACAAAACAAGTCCCAACACAATTTACAGCTTGATTGATAGAAGCACGATCTTTCTTATGGTTTGCTATTTGTAATGCAGCCACATGGTTTCTTTAACTGCTCGCCAGCGGTTGATGTTCCTCCTAGCGCAACTGATCTGGAGCTCAAGGACAATGACATTGCAACAAAGCCTATCCAAAACGGGATAATAGCTAAGCTCTGAATTGATCATTTGTATGATTATCCTCAGCAATATGTCGATGAGGGTCAAATAATTGAGCCATTGATCCTCATATTATTAGGTGCTAAAAAAGCATCTGAGTGCCGTACAGACTGCATCAGCATTCGTATTTGTATGTGCTTAAGGTTCACTAAATATTTGAACTGCCCTTGTATCCTAGTAAAAGCTATTGGAGGCCTTGCAACTGTCAGCAGCAAATTCAGCGAGTCCACCTCCAGTCTGCCATTGCAAAAATATATTCATAAATAATGTACTATCTTTTACTGCTACAGAAACATAATGTCCTACTCTGTACCTTTGAATAATAGAATTCTTGCCTGATTATGTTGTCTTCATGAAGATCCTTTTTTTAATGCTGATTGCGGTATTTTGCGGTGATCAAATTGGATCGTGTTGGGCTGCTTGACAAGGAAGACAGAGGCTGAGTTATGAAAAGATTACTTGATTTATAATTGCTAAATGAAAAGGACAAGACCTGTATTCCCCATTCCATTCAAGAGCGCGGAGGCTAATCTCATGCAAGGGTATTCTAAAGTGAAGAATCTATTTAAAATATTCAAATCTTATCTATTACAAGAGATTTGAAAAGTGACTGCGTCATACGTGGGAATGGATATTACCAGGAATAAAGATTACAGATGGAAAACCCTTTGCCCTTTGGGCTTTGGCTAGCAAATTTGCGTGGTCAACAATCAACAGGTCTTGGATTGCCATCGAAATGCCTTCGTCATCGTCATCTTCACAACAATGGTCCGGTCGGTCAACCACTGAGGAAGGGATCCCTTATAAATAAAAATAAATAAATAAATAAATAAATATGGCGTAACCTCCTCTGTCCGTTGGTAGTAAAATTAATTAATTGTACAAAATTGTGATTAGTAAAATAAATGACAAGGAAGGATGAATTTTCAGACTTGAGTCGGAATCGACGTTGAATTGACTCGTCATCTCCTTGCAACTTCTGGCTCTTTTCCTGGCTAGTTCCTCCTCGCACGCGCTTCATCCAAAGTGCAACTGTAACACTAATATAATTGTCATAAAACAACACAATTCCCAAGAAGCCTCAAGACTCCAAAACAAAAAAACGAAAAAAACGTCAGCTGCAGCTAACGTGACTAGACACAACAAACATGCGAAGAATGATCAAAGCTCCATCCTCAGTCCCCTCCTGACTCATCTCCAAAACAGCGCTAGATTTTCCCTCACACCCCCTGACTCACTCTTCACTCGCCCTCTGTGACTCACCTACAAAAACAGGAATACCAAGACAACTACTTTTTAATATTTTTTTTACCTGATTCAGTTGATGATGGGATCGGCGGAGGAGAAGCGTATAGAGGACGAGCTGTCCTATCCGATTTTGCTAGCGGAGCGAGTTCGCTCGGCGGCGGACGAAGCCAGGTCGTTTAAAGCCGAATGCGGGGAGGTTGCCAAGCAAGTGGATCGGCTTTCCCAAATGCTTCGAACCCTGGTCCGGTTCACCACCTCGGTTCAATCCCTCTACGAACGCCCGATTCGCCGGTTAATATCCGAGGTTTCCAAAAACCTAGAGCGAGCCCTCACTTCAGTCCGAAAGTGCAAGCGGCAGAGCATCTTGCGTCGAGTTGTGAGAATCACGAGCGCCACCGAGTTCCGCAAAGTGTTAAACCTTCTAGACGCTTCCATCGGCGACATGAAATGGCTCATGGGCGTCCTCGACACCGAAAACAACGGGACTTCGAGTGGAATCTTCCTTTCCCTTCCTCCAATCGCCAGCAACGACCCGATTATTTCGTGGGTGTGGTCTTACATCGCAACCGTCCAAATGGGCCAATTAACCGATCGCATCGAAGCCGCCTGCAACCTCGCTTCCCTCGCTCAAGACAACGACCGAAACAAAAAAATAACCGTCGAAGAAGGCGGCGTCCCTCCTTTACTAAAACTTCTGAAAGAAAGCTCCTCAACGGAAGCGCAAATCGCGGCGGCTAATGCGCTTTTTGTTTTGGCAAACGAGCACGAAAGAGTTAGGAGTATTGTTGATGAAATGGGGGTTCCAATTGTGGTGCAAGTGTTGGGAGATTCTCCTATGAAGGTTCAAATTCCGGTAGCGAAATTGGTGGCGAGAATGGCGGAGCATGATCCGGTGGCTCAAGAGGATTTCGCCAGAGAGAATGTGATTAGGCCGTTGGTGACTTTGTTGTCGTTTGAGACATTTGTGGAAGATTCCAGGACCCAGATGGGTAAGCAAAGCATTCATTCTATAGTTCAGATTAATAAAGAAATGGAGAAAAATTCTTCGATTGGGTCAAATTCGACGAATTATAGTTATCGACCCTATACCAATTCCTATTCTAATTTGCATATGGAAGGTAGTAGTAGGGGAGGGAATCATAGGAAAGAAAGGGAAAATGAGAAGCCTGAAGTGAAAATTCAGTTGAAAATTAATGGCGCTGAAGCTTTGTGGATGCTTGCTAAAGGGAGTGTTTCTAATAGTAGGAGGATAACTGAGACAAAAGGACTGCTTTGCCTGGCTAAGTTGGTGGAGAAGGAGCAAGGTGAATTACAGTATAATTGTTTGATGACAATAATGGAGATCACAGCTGCTGCCGAATCCAGTTCTGATCTTAGACGTGCGGCTTTTAAGACGAATTCACTTGCAGCTAAGGCTGTTATTGATCAGCTTTTGAGGATGATCAAGGAATTGGATACTCCTACATTGCAAATTGCTGCTATTAAATCAATTGGTTCATTAGCAAGGACTTTCCCAGCAAGGGAGACTCGAGTGATTGGTCCTTTGGTGACGCAGCTTGCAAATAAGGATCAACAAGTGGCAATGGAAGCTGCCATTGCATTGCAGAAGTTTGCATCTCCGGACAATTTTCTTTGTATGGACCATTCAAAATCGATAATTGAGTTCAATGGTGTTCCACCTTTGATGAGATTGCTTAGAAGTGAAATGACGCAGCTGCACGGAGTGATCCTGCTCTGCTACCTTGCTATACATTCCGGTGATAACGAGGCTTTAGAACAAGCTAGGGTTTTGACAGCCCTTGAGGGGGCAGACCGAACTGTGGTTGCACAACATCCTCATTTGAAAGAATTGGTGTCCAAGGCCATATATCACCTCAACCTTTATCACACTGGAGTCCATCCTCAGAGGCAATCCTATGCGCCTTGAATTTGCACCCTATATTTTTGTTAGGGGTATTGTTCTACTTTTCAGGTAGATTGGAAGGCAAGCTAATACGCATACACGGATAAACAAGATTTGGATCAGTTAGAAAAAAGAATAGTTTCATCAAAGTAGACAGGCTTCTGCTTAATCAAGTATACATTGTTCAAAATACCTTAGATGCTTTAATGCCTTTTTTTAGTGGTCAAATTGTTTGTGAATATTTTCATTTTTTGTTTATATGAAAATAGAGTTACTGATTCCTTCTTGTCTTCTCTACCATTTCTCTCTTTTCTCAACTTCTGTACTTCCTTGAGTGAAATTTTGAAATTCCCCATTTTCCACAAATCAGACTTGTTTTGAGACAATTCTTTTGGAAATTTGGTAAACTTATAAGAGTGCTCATCTGGCAATGAGAACTGCATTGGTCAATCATTTAAAAGCTCATTAAACAAAAACTACGATGCGATTTATCTACTGATATTCAGCCCTTTCAATTAGATGACATGGCTATGAAGGATTTTATATATACATATATCAACTATCCACCTATCATCATGTATTCATACTGCCACCACCTTCATCCTGTAAGTGCTGAACAATTAGCTAAGAATGATCATCTTTTTTTGATGGAAAATGGAAAATGGAAAATGAATCATTATGTTTGGAACCAGACTAACTCGTTCTGTATACGCTATCTTCTTCATCATCCTTCATTAGGGAAAGGAATGATCTAAATCAAATTTACCACTATATTTTAAATCAGTATCAAATTTTACCATTATACTTTAATTTCATTCTATTTTACTATTGTACTTTCCATTTTATTGATTTTTGAACATGAAAGTGACAAAATTGATTTAAAAAAAAACCTACCATGTGTAGTAACAAAATATTCACTGAAATATTTCAATTCCATTATTTTTTTTTTTTTCCAAAAGCAATGATCCTAAAACCATAGTAGCAAAATTTACCATTTGCATTAACAGATTACTTCATGAAATATGTCAATTTCATTACTTTTTGTTCAAAAATCAACAAATTGAAAACACAATGATAAAATTTAATAAAATTGAAGTAGAATGATAAAATCAATATTGAATCCTTATATATATTGGCAAACTTCACCTTAACCCGGGAAAGGGTAAGAGTCTTCGTTTAGGCATATTTTGTGCGGAGTGGCCATCTGGTCCAATGACCACGAGTGTCTAGACAGCCCAAGTGCCCAACAACTTCAATGCTTCCCGAAGGGACTCCATGGGCTGCGCCGATATTTGAATAATCAAGAACAAACAATATTTTTTAAAAAAAAAATTGGAAGTGAAAATAGAACAAGAGGAAGAAACAACCATCCAATAGATTCATCGCCACTGTTCCAACTCCAAACCAAAAAAATCCCTTCCTAATGAAGAAAGGGTATCTATGATGTCATAGATCACCAAACTTGTTTTGCACTAATAGATCTTGTAGCACAGCCAATACAATATCCTGATGTAGCAATCTCAAACACAAATGTCTTACCATCAATTGTTACCGATCCAACATTTCATGGCCACAATCATCTGCAACATTGCTGATCACGTGTGCATGAAAGGAAGTTAAAACTCGTAACACGTTCTCCCATTGCTGATATTCATATATACCAAGTGTTTGAAACCTCAAAGCCACTTCCTACCCCCACACCCTCAACAAGGAAAGAGAATAGGAAGACAAAAGTGAACCAAAACTCTCTTTTCTCTTCACCCCTTCCCCTATAAACATTTTCCTGATAGTTGATGCAAAGCTGTTAAAATAACTTATCAACCTTCAAATAAAGAAAAGAGATGCTAACTATTTGGTAGTCATTAACAAGATATGAGTGTCATATTTTTTTCTGTTTTAGAAGATACAGTTGAAACAGGTGACCTGAAAAAGTAAAATGGTTATTGAGGAAATAACCTAATTGTAGACACCTAAGCTAGCCAAACCTTCCTTAAATAAGTAGGCTTAGAGCCCAAATTCCCTTTCCTCCAATGTAAGAATTGAAACGTAAAAGGTTGATATTCTTTAGTGATGTTGTTTTTTCATTTTGGCTGGTAAAAGGCACAAATGTTAATAAAAGATTAAAGACACTGGAAGCAAAAGCAAAACAGCAACAACATCTATATATTTATAACTTTGTCACTTGTCAAGCATAAGACAAAAAACAAAAGGAAAGAAGCAATATCAGGAGTATATGAGAAAGTTCAGTAAACAGCCTAGACATACTCAGCGAGATGAAGGTAAAGCATGCCAATTGTCAGCAAGAAGCATGGCACGGTCACGAGAAGTTGCTGAGAGTTGCTGGAGAATTACATTTTTGACATGAGTTGCAGCCGTTTCACCAGAACGTGTAGCAAGTTCAAGGTACACAACAGCTTTCATCATTTCCCCTTCCTGCCCAAGTATTATATCAAAATCCACATCAGCTTAGATTGCAAACATACAACATTATCAGCACACAAACATACCATTGAGAAGAGAGAGAATGATCATACAGACAAAAAATGCCAGACTCATCAAGAAACAATCTTGCGTATTATATCTTTCTCTTAACAACTACAAACCCCAGCCCCCCTGCCAAAAAAATAAATAAATATATATATAAACCTTTGTTTTCCTTCATTCATATATTCCCATTTTACTTGGATATGTCTTAAGCTCAGCCAAAGTTTTGTTTTCCTTCATTCATATTTCCTCAATTTCCTTCAACATGCCTTGAGCTAAGGCAAATCAAAGCCAACAACTTTCTGCTATTACTATATACCAAGCTTGTGCATCAGAAATATTATATTCATTTTATACAAGGTATTATGGTTGTTTATACTTATAAACAAAAGTATAAGAACGAGACATACAGAAAATAGAGCAAGTCCATGCTCAAATTGAGCTTTGCTATGACCACGATCAGCAGCCCTCTTCATCCACTTCCTTGCTTGTCTACGACTATGTGACAAACCTTCCCCAAATGTATAACAAAGCGAAGTATTGTACATTGCACGCACATATCCACCTTCAGCAGCTTTTAGATACCATCTAGCCTGAGTATCATCAATAAGCAACAAAGCAAATCCCATCATCCCAATTCTCAAAACGAGAAGTTCACTATGAATACAATTAAAATGGGTAAGTAAAGAACTCCATACAGCTTCCTGAAGATTTCGATCCACCACAAGACCTTGATGCAGGCAAAGTGCCAGCTGGTATTGAGCTCGAATATGGCCCCCAACTGAAGCTTCATGCAACCATTTTATAGCTTCCTTATGCTTTTGAGGTTGAGCTGCGAGACAAAATTAATTTTAAACCGTACGACATTAAATAATGAGCTAAGATTTGAGGAAAAGTTTATTGATTTTGACAGCAATACCGTGCAAGTATGAAATTCCGAGATTGCACTGTCCAGCAGGGTCGCCAAGGGCAGCGGCTTTCTGATAAAGAGCAATTGCCTCTTCCTTTTGACCCCTTTCCCAGTAAATAAGCCCTGCATCGACCATAGCCAGAGTAGAGCCACGTGCAGCGCCTTTCAAGAATGAGTCGAGAGCTTTTTCCAAGTTGCGTCGAAAACCGCCTCGACCGTGCTTGAAACGCTTCCCATAACGCAGCAGCACCATCGCTTCCCTCAACGGCCGCAGCGCGTCCCTCCACGACTTGCACACCAGCGACGCCGCAAGAAGATTCGGGAAATTAAACGGCGATGCGATTTTCGTTAACATGTCGAAAGGGAGAGCCGAGAAATCAGGACCGTCGGTTGGGGATAACGACAGTTTTGAAATGAATTTGGAACGCCTGGATAATTTGGTCTTCCCTTCTCCATTGCTAGGTTTCGACAACGGAAAAGCAGTGAATCGAGAGCCATCGGATCGATCTGGCCATGTTTTTTGCTCCATGTTGCCGCTCCACTTTCCCCAGCTCCCACTGAAAGGGTCATTTGCAGCAAGACATTTTTTCTTTTTTTAAGTTACAAAGAAAATAAAATGAAAGAAATCTTCATTCCAAGCAAAAGAAATCTGGTGGCAAATGCTTGTAGTGTGACGTGACGCCTCTTTAATTAAGAACAAAATAGCCCGACACGTGGCACCTGTTAACCGACGTTAAGATATTTCTGTTAGTGGCCAGGGCTAGAGTTTTCTTTTGCGTCAGTGGCAAGGGCTGGGCAAGGTAAGCCGAGCTCGTCACACTTTAAACACTCGTCAATTGGGAAATATAAAATTGTTTAAATGGGGCATCAATTTCAAATCAAGTAATATATATTTTTTAAAAGCATATTTTATTCTTTCACCATCCGTCTAATGTCATCACAAATCTTAACCTAAATGATAAAAGATTTTAGTGACGTAGAAATTCTGATGCGTAAAAACTCACTGTCTACTTGAAAAAAAATTCCCAACACCAAAAGCCACAAGCAGCAAGGATCCATCACAGCCTTAACAGCATTAACAGCCTTGTATGATTGCATCAAGTTCATGTATGTTTACTTTGCCTTTTTTATGAAATTATTTTGGAGAAAAAAAAAGAAATGTAAATTAGGCTTAAATAAGATGTAAAATATAAATTCAAGGTAAGATAAAACTGAAACCAAAAAAACAAAAAAAAGTTTTGAAAAGAAACTTAACTTTATTTTGGGGTTTTTCTTAGATTCAACTTAATAATAATTATGAATTGATCTTCTATAAGCCAGGCAAATACCAATTAACAAATAGAAATAACTATTATCTGTTAACAAATAATTCTAAACAAGAGATAATATAAAATAAATATACTAAGATAATAAACATATTGAGTGGATATAAATCCAACTAGCTATTTAACCTTCAGTCCTGAAAGAGAATTACACATCCCGCACGCTCCCCTTTAGAATCACCCTCATCCTCAAGGGTCAAAACTTGAAAGGCCTTTATATATAAAACTTTATCATCTTTCTATTGTAATCAATTTTCTCTTGAACCTTTACTTTCGTCTATTTAAACTCTTATGTGTGTGTGTGTATCGGGGGGGGCATTTGAGGATTTTTTTAGTTCTAATTTAGATTAATTATTCTTACAAGATAATTTTATTTTCTTTTAAAATTCAACTATCAAGAATGTATGACCACATGATAATATGTCTTTTAGAGTTAGTCGATTCGTTAAGTCAAAAAGTCAACAATTTTCTATTTTTGTTAATTAGGTTAAGTTTAGCAATTATTCTTGTAATCAAGTTTCTAGGTTCTTTCTGTAAAATGTATATTGGTGACTTGTAATCATTCTTGAAGAAATAATACAATCAATTTAGTTTATTTCATTACTCAATCTTATTTAGTATACAAACGATTCGATTAGGATTTTTGTTGTGATTTCCTTAATTTTTTTGATCTTTATTCTTCATTCGAGATTGAAGTCACAATTTGATCGATTCTTCTTTGCCAATGGCAAATTCATTATCCAAATTAGTCATCTCACCCTTAAAAGATCCATATTCCCCATTCTTTTTTCATCATATAGGCATCGATTTGATAATTGTAAATCCAAAACTTACCTAAAGTAATTAAACTTTTGGATTTCTCAATGGATCAATCCAAGAACATAGGGCTTCAGATGATCTTTACATTCAATGGACTAGATGCAATAACCTAGTCGTGGCGTCCCGCCACCAATTGCAACCATTGTCTTCTACATGAACTTAATCTCATAAATCTAGAATACATTGAAGAAATGATTTTTTTAACTCAATGATGCCAGAATCTGCAATCTTCAATTCTCTTATGTAGTATTACTCAAGGTACAAGAACTATGGATGCATATTTGACTGAATTAAATGACTTATGGGAAGAGTTAAGGGTCTATAGGCCATTTCCTCACTGTGAATGTGAAAAATGCACTCAATCCTACTTTCAAAGATATATATCAATGTCAATAAGATAATGTATATAGGTTTCTTAATGGTTTGAACGAAAACTATTCTGCTTTAAGGTCACACATTGTCCCTACCCTTGAAAACCCTATAACCTAGTTCTCAGGGAACAATCACAATGAACTTTGCATTTGCAAACACAACCCTTTGTGGAATCCTTTGTTATGGCAGCACTGGTTGAAAGAAAGAAAAAAACTAAGGCTGAGTTAATTTGTTCCCATTGTGGAAAGCATAATCACATTCAGGAGAAATGTTGTAGGATCACAAGATTCCCTACTAATTTTAGGTTTAGGGAATCCTGAGAGGGTAATGGCATCTGTTAACAGCATCATCAATTCTTCACCATCAGAACAATAAGCAGATCAAGCCACTAGTTCAATCACCAAACTCATGACCCTTATCAATGAGCATAATTCAGACAATGAAGCGTATGAGACATGGGAAATATGGTTAAAATTAGTAATGATGTTCAAGAAATCTAGGGAAGAGATGGAGGTTTTTGCGGCACTTGCCAAAGAAAAGCAAGTAGTGAAAACCGATTGAAAGGGATCGGTTGATGAGTGGTGTGAAATTATTTGCTTAAAGAAACTCCTATCATGGAACATTAAATGATGGCTTGGGTCAAACCAATGATGTTATTCCTTCAGGAATAAAAGCTTCAACAAGTTAATAATAGAATGATTCGCGTTCTCCAAAGGGCAAACACAATCCCTAAGGATATATAGTTTTGTAGGTGTCGAGGATGTCTCAAGGGGACTAATACACTTAAGGTGTGTAAAGTTGGTTGCTTAAAGTCAAGAGTTGTTATATTTGGGTATTGTGAAGACACTAATTGTGACGAGGTTAAAAATTCTATTAAGATAAACATTAATCTTGGTAAAATTAAAAAATCTCATTAAGGTGAATAATGGTCAAAATCTCACTTTAGTTGGTTAAATCAAAGATATTACAATATCTTACTCTTTTGAAAAAATCACTTTTGCTTATTAAGAAAGTATTCTATATAATTATTCCTAATGAAGAGTATTCTTACTTTTTTTATGTGAGATTATTATAATTTTTAAATAAATAAATAATAATTTAAATTAAACTTTCTTGGAGTATAAATAAAGTGAAAAATAACTTAATTTATTCCAACTTAATGTGCACGTAACCAAAAGAATATATTCTTATATCAGTTATATTCAATTGGTAGGTAGACTAAGAATTACAGGAATGTATTGTGGGTTTGGGAATATTTATGCTCCCAACGGTGAAAACAAGACACAATTAGTGTGGGAAGAAATTTTTGATATTTTGAAAGAGGAAAAAATTATGATTTTAACCTCTCTTTATTAAACAAAATCATAAATTTAGAATGACAAGGGACTATTTTAACCTCTCTTTAGTCATAAGAATAATAAAATAATTTAAATCAAGAGAAAAAAATTAAATCAAATAAACAAGATAAATGTGAAAAAAATATAAATCTCTTTATAATTTTATTGAAGAATAAAGGGAGAATATAAAGAAAGAAGTTTCATCAGATTTTTTTTATTACATATTAAAAATTTTTGAAAAAAATTAAATTTATAATTTCATTTAAAATCTATAATGGACTTTTGCATAACTTAAAAAGTTTACATTTTAAAAAGCAAATACTTTTGATTATATTTTTGCAGTATAAAATCCCTTTCACAAATGGGCCGAACACCCACTTAATTTGGTAATTAGGGCCAACAATGAACTTGAAACCCCTAAAGTCCAATCCATTTGGAGTACATGTGTGAACTACTGGGCCAAGCCTAAAACATGAGAAAGGAATATATATGGTTGGAGAGACAAGACAATCATTTTTATGTTCAATATAAAAGAAAAGGGTAAAAGACCTTTACTCTAAAGTTTGATTTCAATTATATGAAAATTCGTTACTTTTTAAAATAAATATTTTTTTTAAAAAAATAATTTTTATTAAACACGGAAGCTTAACTGTTAGTTCATTTTTAATATTTTTATCAACCTAGTGATGTGATGTAGTAAAAATAAAAAGATAATTTTTTTTTATTAAATTTTAAAATTATTATTATTATATAATTTTATTATTTTTTATTAATTAAGAAAAATACCTCCCAAGATGGGAGCACTGGAGCTCCTTTTGGGGGCCCCGATTGGACTCCCTAAGGGTGCACCCGTGCTCCCCTGGGGAGCTTGATCGGGACTCTAATCTGGTGCTCCCCTTGAGGAGCTTGATGCTCTCTTAAGAAGTCCTGATCGGTACTCTTTTCTTCTTCTTTTTTTTTTTAATTTTTTAAAAATATAATAATAAGTTTTTAAATTAATATGAAAAGAAAAGATATTTTAATTTTTACTTAATCTTTATTAACAGTATTTATATTTTTGAGATGAAATGTTTATTTCGAAAGTTAATAGACCCATTTAAAATTTTAATTAAAATTTAACAGATTGAGGTAATTATCTAAAAAGAAATCTTGAGTATTTGATATAAAAAAATAAAGATTTTTTCTGAAATAATGGAAAAGAATAAAGACTTATATAGCAAAATTGGACTGATATATATTTTAAGAGAATGTAATTTATATATGTATGCATGCATAAAAATATAGACACAAATTGTAATACAATTATTCATAGGAGAAATTACAATATTTGTTAAGTAGTTGCGATTTAATGTTCAAATCATCCATCTAAAATAAACTTGAGCATGCCCTAAATTTTAGTTTGTTTTCCCCTCTAGTTAGTTGGTAGTAATCCTTTGTTATATAGTTTTGAATGGTAAGCAAAGCGAGAAATATTTAATTGATTCATATATATATAATCACTTAAAATATGGAAAAAGGGTTGAATAATTTCCAAGATATAAAAAATAGTATTTTAATGGGACGCTTTCTCTGAGGGAAATGTTTAGTGTATTCCATGAGGATCCCATGGTAAGTGAGCCAAAGGGAAGGGAGGGAGGGGCGGTCCATTTCTTCAAAGCCTATAACCTTTGACCCAGATGTTATTTACTGCGTCAAAATTGCCGGTGGTGGCTTTGCAGTTTGCTGCAGTCTCCCCACATGATGTCTTTGCTACGCAAACATCCCACAAGATTGTGTTGGGTCAACGGTCCCCACACTTGACTTTGACTGAAGCTATTGTTCTTTGTGATCAAGAACTCTTCCCAAGTATCGCTTGCCCAGTTCTTGAATTGCTCGTGGCCCCCACAAAACTAAACAAGTCACGTTGAGTACAAGCTCCTGCACTTGGCAATCAGTTTAAATCAAAATTCAGGGCCCCCTGACAAGCTTGCAATTAAACCACGTCTAGCGAAGTGTTGTCATTTTTGTTAAGACAGCGGTTTTGGTAGCTCGAAACCCAGTTTTGATCTAAGCCTTGGATCCTTTTCAGTATTTATAGAGGCCTTGGAACAGCTCGTGTAAATCTCTGTTATAGGTTTCAAATCCTGTAAGAATTGAGGAATTGATTTCTGATATGATTTGCAGTATGTTCTGGTGGATTTCACGTGATGTATATGCCCGTAGGAGATTTGGATTCCAATTTCACAAGCCTCTCTCTTGCTCTCTCTCTCTCCGTCTCTCCATCTCTAATAGTCTTAGCACTGAGAATTTCAGTAACCTATATATAGCTAGCTAGGTTTCACCCGCAAAGTTAAAAGCTTATCTCTAAAGGATTAGATAAAGAGTCCACCATCGTTGAACGTATTGTTCTTTTATTTTATTAGGTAGTAAGTTAAAATACTAGTAGTAAATTCAATTCAGGCAACTACTGGCATTGACACCAAATAGTGTATTTTGGTCTATAGCAACTCATTTGTTCCAATCTTATACTCCATAGATTCTCAATAACTGACGCAAAATTTACATTAGACTATAGAGTAGGTAAATAAGCATAATATGATGTGGTAAGTTGATCCATTCCATCTTCTCAGCCTGTTCTTGCATGATTTACCCCATTGCTCCCTTGTCTCCTTCAATGATACAAGTGAAAAACAGATTGAAGAAGGAAAGAAATAAAAAATTGAACAATCGATGCAAGGCAAGATGACAGATAAGCCACCATAGGCTGGCAACATTGCCGAATACACACACACACACACATATATATATATATATTAATAAGCTTCATGTGGTCTCCAATAATACCACTAAATAGGGGGAGTTTAGTGATTAATCTAATCCAAAATGATTTCATTAGAGGCCACATGAGATTCGCAGCCTTTGTTAGACGTGTTGAAACATGATTGCTTCAATGCAGAGCTCTGATCCCGAGAGAGCTTTCTTTAGTGTACAAAATGAACTCCAGATTAGGTGAAGTCCCCTTTGTCACTTTTTTAACTATGGGTACCTTGATGGTGCACATTCTTCAGTTATAAACAAATGGATTTCTAACTTTCTTTTCTTTTTTAACTTTTGTTAATAAACATTCCATTCCCATTATCCTAAGTCAAAAATGTTTTTAGATATGCAAGTGACATTGTCAATTATTGGTCTGCAGAACTTGAGAGGGTTCAAAGAGTTAAATGAGGTCCTTGCAAACTCCGCATAGGATTCTAATCCAAGTCTCCCCACATGTGTTTTGTCCCTTTTTTTTTTCTTGAGTTATCACCAAAGCATTACAAAGAACCTTCCCACTATCATAAGAGTCCGAGGTGGGTGGGGGGTCATGTATGTGGGACAGTGGAAAACTAAGCTAAGTCTAAAGAGGGGATGATGGCAGAGAGCCAGAAAAGGCAGTGGGTCTTTGGGCTAAGCGTTTTGTAGCGATTTGTCTCAGTCAATCAGCTGTGTGTAAGCATCCGTGCAGCATCTTCCTTACCCATTCGAAAGGATTTACCTTTACTTTGTGTTTGACAACTTTTGGCAACCTTAGCTAGATGTTGACTTGCATGTGTCACTCCCACGCATGAACATGAATAGTACTGATCTATTGTTTGAAACAAAAGAGAGCAGCAGCAACAACAGGAAGAAAAAGAAAGATCAAAGTGTAAACTGAAAGAAAACCCAGATCTTCACCATTACTTAATTAACAAATGGATGCTTTAATTTTATTACAGTTCTGGGTGCTATATGGATTTAACATAGAAGCCAGAAAGAAATACTACAGATATACAAAGGGAAAAAAGAAAAGATACCACCGCATTTTACCACATTAAGAAGGTCGCTAGGTGAAGCACAAAAAGGCATCTCAAAGAAGCTCATGACATGAAGAAGTTAAATATCCATGTTATTTATTTAAGAATTCCTCTGTACATAAACTTCTACTCGCTACAGAATACCCTAAAGCAGAAGAAAAGAAAGTAAGCGTACAAAAAAAAAAAGAAAGAAAGAAAGAAAGAAATAATAAGGAGATGATAAAAGGGGATGCATAAGCTTAAGGGTTTAAGCTTCCCCTCCCCCCACTCTTGGTTGATCAATTAGTTAATTAATTAGCCCTTTCAACATGGCGTATAAAGACACTCTCCAAGTCCGGAGGAGTAAAGAACTCTCTAACACTTCCATAGTTACACTTCAAAGAAGGCTTTCGCTTCCTTGGAGCAGGTGGACACGTCAATATGGTAGGAATTCTAGCTTCTTCCCCAGTTGGAGTCGTCGAACATTCGTCTGTTTCGTCACTAATTTCTTTATCTTTCTCCGCTGGATTTGTGTAGATAGCCTTCAACGGAGCTCGTAAAGAAATCCCAGCAATAACCCATTTTTTGCCTTCGGACTCTAACCCTCCATCCACTTGAGGCTTCCCTGAAACCCCCATATCCTTGGATCAAAACCAAACCAAACCTTTCAACTATTATTATAGCTAGCTAACTAGGAAGGACCCAGGGAATAAAGAAGAAAGAAGAAAGAATAAAGATGGGCTTTCCCTTTCCTTTTGTTTTTTTTGGTTTGGTTTGCCCCTCCACTTTCTTTTCCCTTTGTAGAGAGAATCACAGGGAAAGCAGAAGGAAAGTGTTGGAAAGGAAGAGCCTATGGTTTAGTAAGAAAGAGAGAGGGCCGGGAAGGAACACGAGAGAAAGAGAAATGTTGCAGCTAAAATGCAAAGGGGCTTAAATAAAAAAAAGATAATGCTCATTAATTGAAAGAAAGAAGTAATCGGAAGCAGGCGACGTTGAATGTTGTGTTTATACCAATCAGGGAGAGAGAGAAAAAGAGAACCCGAGGAAACTCGTGACATAAGCAGAGACAGAGACAAGAAAAAAAAAAAAGAAAAACACTAACCCAACTAGAACTTGCCCGTGAAACTACGGGCAGCTTTCAAGTGAAAAATAATAATAATACTAATAAATGGGACTGGGAAATTGACTTGGATTTTGGCGCCAAAATTTTGGGATCACCACCACCAAATCCCCTTCTTATTATTCTTTTCATCTGTATTTTGCTTTAATTTGACATTTTTCTTTCTTCAAATAATCAAGGTCTGCTTTCCAGTTTGTAATATTTCCTTTCTTGTTAAATAAAACCAGAGCAAAGCCTTTTTTAACGGGCCTTTTTCAAAAGGAGGCTTTTTTTCATAATCCTTTCCTTTGAAACAAACAAAACTCCAAACAAGAATGCTTTGTATGATCAATCAAGCTTAATGAAAGTTTTATTGAGCTTAACTAATCTTTTACACTTCCTTTCAATTTATGGATTTTGTTAATATTTATACTATATATATTTGAGTATTAATCTTCACTAAGTTAATTTATTATACTCATTATTCTCTTGCATTTCAAATAAAAAAAACTGATTTATTTTTAATTACCAAAGAGCCTTTCTGATGGAAAAGGAAATGTACAGAGGGTACTCCATTTAGTTCTGGCCAAACTCAAATTCAAGGTCAAATTTTATCCCTAAAGAGAAAGAAGATAACAAGGAAAATCATGGTAAGATCATGTCTGCTGTGAAGACAAAGCAAGAGCTTGATGGTGCATGCATATTACTATTTTAGTCCACAATGAAATCCCCCGGTGGCTGAAACATGCAGTTTCTAGTCAGTAATTAATTAATTAATTAATGAATATATTGAATCAAATCAATTGTCCGGATTTGGTTACTAAAAGAAAAATTAAAGACTACTAAAACCAGTTGTCCAGAAAGAATATTGGATTTGGAACCAAATCTTTTACGTTGATATATATATATATATATAACACCAAGTTGAGGAAAAATTTAGTTACAAGCCTGACAAATACTAACATTGGATAAAAGAAGTGTAGTATTTAGTTCACAGTCAAAAGCAACCCTTGCATGAAACTCCAACACAGTAAATTTTGTTTTTGTTTTTGTTCGTGAAATGTCAAAAGCAGCATAGCTTGACGTCAACCAAGCGTCAGCTAAACAAATATGCTTGGTGGTGATTTGCTTGGATAAACCCGTATTCAACTCTTCGGGCAAATGGCCGGGAGGAATCGAAGGAGACAAAAATGTACAAAATTTAGCTTCTGAAAGATGACCAGTCACCGCCTTACACATGCCAGAGTTTTGCCGTATGCACACCAAAACTACAACCAAAACATTCAAACATATGACAGGGGCGGGCGGTCGCTTTAAAACAAAACATTAATTTGCCAATTGCAGACTCGTCCAGGGCTCCTGGTACCGTTCGGGAACAAGCTCTATGACGCATATGTTACAGCAGCATGTGTCATTCTAAAGGATGAGCCTGGATTTCTGGCGCTTCTGATTAAGGGAGAGAAACCCATAATTTAGATTCTTTTTTTAAGTGTCAGAGGCAACCGGAAACCAAAGAGTTTCACAGCTGGTTCTGTAAAGGGGACTTAAAAGAAATCTACTCTTTCTTTTCTTTTTGTTCAGCAAGGGACTGATTAGTGCTGTCTGATGCTACTGAGATAAATACTCCCAACTGCGGGTCTCCCACCTGCGACGGATATGTCAAAACAACTGCTCTGCTTCATTTGGTTGGGAGCTATATGGTACCATTTCTTCCATTTATATGCACGTTATTCATACTGACGGGTACAGCAGCGCTGTGGACCTCCGACTTCTATTAGCAAAGAGTACTGCAATTAGTTTGGCGCAGGTTGGGAACGAGATTTTACTCAGAATCGTGCATTTGCATGGTCATGCCTTTCTGGCAAATCCTGTCAGGCAGGCAGGCAAGAGTTCACATTGGAATTATAGCATTTGTGATGCACTCAACTACGCTCTTGAGGTTAATAATTAAATTTCACTTAAACTAAAATCCTAATAAAATTTTATTTCTGATTATTTAGTACAATTAGAATAATTAACAATTGATTCAAATAAAATAAATATTATATTTTTAATTAAAACATGACTATTTTAAAATCCTAATATAAATAAATTAAATAAAAATAAAATTCTTTAATATTTATAATTTTTAGGTAAAACTCTTAATTAAATAAAAATAATAATGAAGTTATAAATATACCCATTTATGATTTTTTGAGTTTTTCTTTTAACTTCTTACGCTTAGCTTGCTCTAAGAAATTTATACCCTTTATAGATTAATTTTTGCATTTTGCTCCAACATTTGTTCATAAATCAGCTAGAACTGTACTCAACTCTATTATGAGTTTATGACAATCTTAAAGGCGCAATGAGGCCGATGTTCAAAGATTAGTACTATGTATTCAACGGATGTCATTAGAAAGAGAGAGAGAGAAAGAAAGAGAAGCAGGAATAATCTTCAATGGCATGAAGTTTATATAGCTCAAGTAAAAGGAGAAAATGATTAAAGTTTGCACATGTATAGAGTGGCTTGCAATAGCCAATTAATATAATACAGTTTCAAGGAATTTAAAGCACCCTTCACATTCTTGAGTGGCTCCAATTATCTTCGTATTGCTCCATGAACTCGTCATTGAATTTCTTGAAACTGGACATAATTTCAGGCAGGTCTTCCTCCGCGGGTAAAATTGTTGTCCTTAAGTGGAAGACCCTGCTTAGAAAAAGCATATTATTAGACACAAGTTGTTAGAAACAGATAGGGGAACCTACGTTTTCTGACTCTATTTCTAATGAGAAGTATACAACTTGGTTAGAAGCATATAAAAACTATAAGATCAGGTTCTAGACCTAAGCATAGTTATTTTACAAAAGTATTATCAAAATAAATAGCAGGACAGATCTAAGCAAAGTTTCTAACTCGACAAAAGGAAACAGAAACAAACAAACATTTATTTAAAGAACAAAAATTGTTGAGAAAGGTAAGTGTAGAAGAAGCTTTCTGGTAGGACAACAGTAAAGATGATTATTAAAATTCCAAGCAATGAATAAATGGAAAAGAAAATAGATTGAAAAGTACCCACCCTTCTTTCTGTCCAAATCCTGAACCAGGGACGGTGGAGATGCCAGTTGCTTCCAACAACTTGAGACAATAGAAGACATCTGGAACTTTTCCTGCCTTTTTGGCAGCTTCTATAGCTTTTGGTGGCAAGCGTATTTGAGGAAAAGAATACATGGCACCTGTATGATTACCATCAAGTAAGCAGTGAGCTGGAATCAATAAAGCAAGATTTCAAATTACCTGTTGAGAACAACTATTTACCTTCAGTGAAATTACAAACCACATTTTTGCAGCTGTTAAATCCATCAGTCATTATCCACGCTCTTCTTCTCAATGATTCAAGAATTCCTTTGCTGCAAGTTTTAAACGTAAATAGTTGGTGGAAATCAACTGTTAATTAAAGCTAAAGGAGAGAGCTTCTTTCCATTTCGTAGTAGAAAGCAACATCCCAAAGTTCAAACCAAATTCTGGACTTTTCTACATAAAGTATCAATAATAACTGAAAATATCTTCTTTCAGTAGTTTCTAACACCGAAATTAGATGGTTAGACATGCATTAACATCTGGAATCTATCCAATATGAACATCACAAAGCTGAAAAATATTTTCCCTTCATTTATATTTAAGCAGATAGAAAATATGCACCAACTCGTTGGAAACAGGGTCATAGCAGGCATACCTTTCCCTAACATACTGCTCATATGAAATGTCTCCAGGTTTCAGTGGGTTGACCATCAACCCCATCTGTGAAGAGAACAGGAAGCTTTCTTAATCTTACTGTTAACATAACTAGAGTAGAAACATTAAAGTGCCCAACTTCACAGAAAATAGGATGACATCAACTCACAAATATCTGAGCAGGAACATTTGGACTTAGTGATATTGATGAAATCTTATAGATCTCATCAACTGTCTGCAATATCAAATCATGAAATCAGAACATAATTGGTAATCAGTTCAAGGATCCATATTGTGTTTGATTTCCAACCTGCATCAGGTCAGAAGAATGATAGAAAGAAGAAAGTATATGCATTTAGATATGTAACAACATGGTAAAACATTTCATTTGTGATTATATATGGCAACTATTAAAATAATTTTACCTGTTTGATAATGAAACCAAAGTTGGGAGGATTATTTGTTATACCTCCTTCTATATGACCATGACCTTTGTGTCATAATGTGTTCGTTGTATTTCATTTTTCCATGAAAATTCAACAGCAATTGTGCTACAATTATTTCACATTTCATCATATATTGATGTTTGGGATAAATTCCTGGCTCCCACTCAAGAACATGAAACTTATTAAGCAAATTAGAACACAAACCTGTGGAGGAATGTTAGTCATCTCAAAGTATCCACCCCGCTGCCCGCATTCACCCCAATATCCTTTAGACACAGTGTGGAAGGAAACGAGCTGGACTTCCTTGCTTATGGGTGGCCCCATATCCATCAAAACCTTCCAGTGGTACAAGGAAAATTATGCAATTAAGAAAGTTAAAACTCCATTGCAAAGATTTGGTTGTAGTTGATCTAACAGCAAAATGGCATCTACCTTTCTAGCACTGATAAAGGGGCGCTCATCCTGGTATATGTTCTGTTGATAAACCTCGTCACCAAGTAAAACTAAATTTTCTTGGTAACAAAAGCTCAATATTTCTCTTAAATTAGCTTCACTGAGACACTGACCAGTAGGGTTGCCAGGGTTAATAATTACCATTGCTCTTACCTGGTCATATTCAAACATAAAAGAGATTCAGTTGGTGGTGGCATGCATCAGGGAAAGAGCAGTTCATATCAAAATAAAGGTAGGTATCATAGCATTAAATCCAAATGAAAAAAAAGTGTAACAAACAGCTTTTATACGTTGAATAGATAAAATCAATTTGGGAGGTAAAACTGTTTAGTGGCAGCCAAACTAAATCAATTTTTGAACTCCCAAAACTGCTTAGCATGCAGCATAGGATAATTTAGTCAAACAAATCATTTATGCTTATAATTCTTGTTCAAGCCTCTTTTTCATTTATCAATTTATCCAATTGTGATGTTTGTATAGTTTCAGACCATATTTCTCAAATTCTTTCATAAATTAGCAAGAGAAAAAGTATACTAACAGTTATTCCTTTAAAGCGAGCCTGTGCAACTGCTTGGCGAAGATCATTAACATCAAGCCCCCAGTTTGCAGTCTCTTCCAGGTAATATGGAACAAGAGAACCCCCGAAAAGAGATATTGTAGCTGAGTAAAGTGGATACTGTGGGACAGGAACCAAAACCTGCCAATGCAAAATTTTTTATAGAGTATAACATATCTTCATCATGCACTGGGAAAATGGTAAATCCCTAAACTATAAGCCAGAAGAAATTAAACTAGGATGAGAAGAAATGGATGAAATAGATATTGGTGCAATCATGTTTTAGCAAAATGGATAAGGAAAATATGTTACCCCATCCCCTTCACCACGGATAATACAATTCAAGATCTGCATCACACCCTTGCTGGCACCATCAGTGAGAAATATGAGTTCTGGGTCACTGCCATTAGTAAAAGAAGCAAATAACCATTCAGCTTACAACTTGGGAACCAAAATGACAATTCTTTTGAAAAAAAGGTGACATTATGAGTTATAGAATCTAGATTATCACCTAGGATACCCATCACGCCTTTCAATGAATTCAGCTACCTCCTTCCTTATGCCAGGAAGACCTCTGGAGTCACTATATGCACCTAGATATATGGAAAAGGAACAAAATGTCATTTATATTGCAGATCACATTCAAATCCATTAAGTTCTGAGAACCCTCTGGAACTGTTTTTAAATCAGTTATAGTGAATGGGTGAATATAAGGAACTACATAATAGCATAATTCTAAAGCAGTAAATAAATTGAAAGTAAGGTATTGTAAAAAAAGGGTTAAAATTTAAAAGTAGTTTCAATATAACGACATTCGCAAAACATATGACTAACTGCAAAATTAACAAGATAAAAACTTAATTAGTCAATTATCTATCAAGTACATAGGCTGAAGAAAACAAGACAAGAGTCATTCAATGACAGGATGATGTTTCGGGTGGTTTGAACGTTATTTTCCTATAAATAACATGATGATTACCTAGACCACCAGGAGTCAGTGAAAGATAAAGTTTAGCTCTTGCAATTGCATCTGCAGGAAATAGCAGTCCTACATTAGGATCATCTAGCAGAAACGGAGCTTGGCAGAGAGCAACCACCTGCAGTAGCACATTTTCTTGGTTCAATACATACTTTTGAAACACAAAATATTTCCAACAGACGGAAACTGAAATAAAATAAAAATTATACTTGGCGAGGGAAAGTCAGTGGCTTCTGTCCAAGGGCATGAGGGTTGCCAACATTTGTGAAAATAATCTGTAGAAATAAGCAGTGAAACATATTAACATACACACATGAGAACAATTTATTAAGTGAAAAAGGAAAAATAAAACCATTATTAAGTATTTATACTTGGAAGGCATACACACATTCACATCTTGTCCATTGGCACAATAGGGACCACTATAGCATCTACATTAATATTGATAGCAACATGTTATCAGAGTTCTAGACTTTTAGTCACTACTCAGACACAAAAACTTCAACTATACTCCCCAGAATACCACAACAAATAAATTCTTCTTAGGAAGCACTAAACACATGGAAGTGCACACTCTCCCAGCACATAATGGATTCTAGTAATAGTAGGGAGACACATCCCGCATATTGGTTTTATCAGACCTTTTAATTGCGTTCGACAGCAGAAATCCTTCCTTGAGGAATGTTCAGACAAAAGATGAAAATAGAATCAAGGCAGGCATTTCACCAGGAAACTAGTAGTCATGTCAATTCAAAAATAATCATAAGTACAAGCTGTGTGCGGTAAATAGGCGCTATAAGTTTAGCTAACAAATGCAAGATACCGATTATGATAATTTCTCAAAAATATCTAAGAACAAGGATGTGGTTTTAAATGACCCTGTACATAATGCATCAAAATTTACATTTTCTGTTCACTGCAATAGCTAAAAGCAACTTCATAGAAAACCCCAGTATCTAGTTGTTCAATAAGAAGCATAAGATGCCAAAATTCAATGTTCAAACAAATTAGAAGAAAGAAAGCATAGTGTACCTTCTTCCCTTCCTTCTGCAGCTCGGAAGCTCGTAGATACAACTCTCCTCTGACTGCATATTGAACTTTCTTCACATTTTCATTCAGTGACTCATAGTCTAATGCCTTAGTACCCATGGTAGAACAAGTTCCTTCCTTGAACTTATGAAGCTATAGGCTCAGTACTCAATCTGTACGAACACGCAAAAAATAAGTCGAATTTAACATTTTGATTTTGTTTGTAAGTAATTACTTTCTTTTCCAGCTTCAACATGAGAATTACTATCTACCAAAATAATTTGATCGTTAGATATTTTAACAATCAGATACATATAAAAAATCACTCTAATCCTAAATCGTAAAATTGGCTCTAAAGCTCATCCGTACATATCCATGCGTTAACGAAAAAAATTAAAAGGAAATCATAAATATAAAGAGAGTTAATTGCCATCAATGCAAGTGTCACTAAATAAGAAGCCAAACCACACGACGCGAAACGCCAGGCAGAGAAATACGTTTAGGAAATGAAAACAGTCAATGAACCAATGATCTCAATCTACAAAATCATTTAGTTAACTTAAAAACAAAGCGAGGGATCCGCAAACGGATCGAGTAAAAATCAGAACCCAAACTTGATCTCTCATGAATCACAGAAAATTCAATCATCTTACCCCTGAACTCAACTGGAAACTGGAAAGACCCCTTAAACGAGGCTAACCCGTGGGCTGAGCGTAGTTGAAACAGATATTCCAAGGTGCAGCAGAGCAAGGCTCTCGCACAGATTTTATGTGTAAGTTCGTAACGTTTGGCAGTGTCAGAGCCTTTTCTTGTCGGGGAAAGGCAATATATATTATTTTTTACATATAAAAAAAAAGTGGCAGTGGCAGAGTGCAAAGGAGTGAATGGAAGCAGCAGAGCCACTGAAGCAAATGGATTACCTGGAAGGGGACTTGCTTTTTATTTAAGATTTAAGACAAAATGGATAAAATTCGATCGAGGAAGTGTGGTGTAGCTTCAAACTGTGAGTTCTTGGTAGATAATGAACCTTCGGCCTGTGGGTACTCAAACCCCTTTTGTACTCCTCTTACGTTGGTCGCTCTCACAGGGTGTAAGTGGTTCATATTTAATTCTTAAGGAATTCCCAGCTTCGGAATTGTTGAGGAAGGGCAATTTGGTCAACCTCCATGAATAAATGTTGGTGTGTTGCCCTTTTTCTTTGTCTCCTATTATTATTATTATTTTATAATTATGGATACTATTTAATTTAGCATAGAGACAAACTTAGGGGTAGATGGCTTCTGTTGGGTGGCCATTGGTATTTTTATAATCCTTATAAAATTGTTGGTGATAATGTTATTGAATCATGACGGAATCGGATTGTGGACCAATGATCGTCATTTTTGTAAAAGGTTGTAACGAGAATCAAAGAGTTGATCGAAAGGATAATATTTTCAAGGAAATAATTAATACTTATAATGATAAGGTCATATTTTGCTCTTATATTATAGAAAAACATTCAATTTGGCACCCAAGCTTATATTCTGCCTACTAATGTCACTCAATATCTACCATGGTTAATAAAATATTAAATCATTAAGACACTCAGTATGCACCATTCTATTAAACAATTGCCGAATCACTTTGTGGATCAAACAAGTACGTAGCATAACCTCATTCATTAAAAAAAATTTAACCTTTATGTTTAGAATTTTTTTTTCAAAAAAAAAGTTTTAAAATATAAATTTTTATTTCTTAAAAAAAATTCTTCTATTTCCTTTCTTTTTCTTTTCTCTCCCCTCCCCTCTCTCGTTCTTGTCTTGACACCTCACCTAATGGTCGAATTTGATCATTATCCGACTAGACGATGTTGGATTGGATGTCGAAATGGCCAAAATGACCTCAAGTTTCAACTTGATTTAAGGTTGTTTTGACAATTTTGACTCCAGATCTAGTCTCGTCTCACTTTATCCAATCGAATAATGGTCGAATTCGATCATTAGGTGGGGATTAGGTGAAATAAGAGAAAAGAGAGCATAGAAAAGAAAAGGAAAAAAAATATTTTTTAAATTTTGAGTTTTTATTTTAAAAATATATTTTATATTTTATTTTTTAAAGAATTTTTTTTAATTTTACAAACATCCATTTTTAATATTTGTATAAAAAAAGAAAATATGAAGCCTTTTAATTTTTATTAGTGAATGAGATTATGTCATGTGTTTGTTACGTGCGTATCACAGTCATCAACCAAATATGATATTTATTTGGTCAAATAACATACTTTGATTGACCTATTATAGACTTAGCAATTTGTATTTTTATATTTTAATCGTGTCATGTTAATATAGGATATTAATGGTTATATGAGTCAATATGAATATTATACGAATAATTATTCTAGTCAACATCTAAAAAACGTACATGAATACATTTAAAAATTGTGTAACATGACACGATATGGTTAATACATTTATTAAACGTGTCAAAAATTTTTATACACACAACACAATTAAACGATTAACATAATTTTTTCCTAATATGATTAACAACTTAAAATATTTATAATTAAATATAATTTTATTATTCAAATTTAAAATTAATAATTATACAAACAATTATAACAAATATAATAACAACATCAAATATAATAAAATTTAACATAAATAATATACTTAAAATTTATTATCATATTAATAAAATCCATCGTTAACATTAAATGTGTTACTTATATATGTTTAAATATGATAATAAGATTAACAAGATTAATTAAACGTGTTAATCATATTTACACGATTAAGACACAAAATATGATAAAATTAAATCCAAATCTATTTAACTTTGTACCTTCCCGTCTCGTGTTATCATATCGTGTCCAAAATTACTAAGTCTTATTGACACGCAAGGGCGGAGCCTCTTTTAATTTGGAGGTGCCAAATTTTTAAAATATTTTTTATATTATATAAATTTTTTTAAAATTTTTAATAGATTCTTTTAATGCCCCCTCTCAAAATAATTTTTTATTTAATAATTAATACAAATAAAAAATAACAAAAAATGTCCTATATACCTCACTCAATTTTAAAAGTTTTTTTATTTTTTAATTTATATTATTATTTATATTTATATTTTTCTATATTTTTTGTTCATATGTTTTAAGGTTTTATAGATTTGCTTCTTCAAACTTCTATAAACCATCAACCATATTCTCTTTTTTTTAATATATTATATGTAGGTTCTATCTTCCACTTGTCATGTTCATCTTTTTTTTCTGTTATGTGAATTTTATTTTTCATGATTTTAATATTTAA